ATGGATATAATTTTAATTAAAATAAATTCGATATTTAATTTAATGGTGAAAGTGGAGTAGATGCTGGAGGTCTATCAAGAGAGTTTTATGCATTAGTATTTAAAGATTTATTAGATCCAAAAAAAGGGTTTTTCTAGCCTTCTTCTAATGGCATCACAATGCAACCTTCTCCAAACTCAATAATAATAGTAGATTATTTGTTACACTTTTAAATGGCAGGAAGATTAATTGCTAAAACACTTATTGATGACTTTACTTGTGAAGTTGATTTTACCAAATCCTTTTTGAAACAAATTCTTGGATAACCGCTTTATATTAATGATTTGGAAGATATTGACCCTTAAATGGCTAAAGGGTTAATGGATATTCTCTAAAATAGTGTAGAAGAATTATACTTAGATTTTACTTATACTATTAATTAATTTGGAGAATAGAAAGTTATCGAGTTGATTCCTAACGGAAGCAATATTGAAGTTACGGAAGAAAACAAAAAAAATTATGTGAAAGAATTAGCATACTTTAGGATGGTAAAATAAATTGAAACTTAAGTTTAAGCATTTAAAAAAGGCTTTTATGAAGTTATTCCCTTAGAATATATAAAAATAGTTTCTGTAAGAGAATTAGGTCATAGATTATCAGGAAATCATATTATTGATAGTATTTTTTTTTAATTTATATTTATATATTTTATATAAAAAAGTTAATGATATGAAAAAAATATGGTTTTTAAAGATGGATATAAATAAGATTCAGATTAAATTAAATGGTTATTTGAAATTTTAGAGGAATATGATTAAGAACAAAGGGCAGGATTTTTATTCTTTACTACTGGATCATTTAAAGTTCCTTTTGGTGGTTTTTAGAACTTAGAAATTATTATTACTAAAACTAATAGTGATAAGTTATCTTTACCTGTTTCTCATACTTGTTTTCAAGAATTAGGTATTTAAAAATTACATGTATTTTATATGATTTTTTATTTTAGAGATACCTTTGTATCCAAATAAAGAGATTATGAAAAAAAACTTGATTTTTCTATTAGTCAAGGATAAAAAGGATTTTATATAAAATGAAATTATATTTTAAATATTATTATAACTTTGTTATTTTATTCAAATTATAATTATGTTTTATTTTTAATTAAAATATTAGAAAATATAATAAAAAGTATTTTTTTTTAAATAAAAAGAAATATTTATTTTTGTTTAATTTTTTATTTTATTTAATTTATTTTTATTATATTTGTGATTATCGAGGTGTTTTTTCTATTGTTAAATTTATAATAATATAATATAAAAATCATAATAATATAATATAAAAATCATAATAATTATTATACATAAATATTTTTGTAAAAAATATATAATAATCTATTTGAATTTCATATAATTATTTAAATTAGTTAAATATAAATCTATATTTATTAAAGTTTTAATAATTTATATGTATTAAACTTATTTAATAAACAAAAATGGAACTGTAATATAGATAAATAAATATTATAGTGTATACATTAAATATTTTGAACTATATATTATAAATAAAAATTAAAATATTAAATTTAAAGCAAAATTAATAATAAAAAAAAATATTATAATATATTATTATTTATAACCAAAATTTTTATAAAACTAAATAATTATATGTTAAATTATTTTTTTGTAAAAAAAAAAATGCAAAATAAATAAATTAGTATATAGCTTGTCTCTTAAATTAAAAAAAAAAAAAATAAAAAAAAAAAAAAAGTTAAAAAAAAAAAAAAATTAAATAAATAATTTGATATATAAATATATTTTATTTTATTTTAAAAATGTATATATATTTTTATATATATATATAAATATTTATATATTTACATATATTTATCAAATACATATATCTATAAATTCTGTAATAAATATTTTTTAAATATATATTATTTTATTATATAATTTATATTATTATTATTAATAGATTTATATTATTTTATGTTATTTTTTTATATATATTAATTAATTATATTTATATAATCAGTAAATTTTATTAAATATATATATCAATATATATTTTAAAATATTTATGTTTATTATATAATTATTTTATTTTTATCTATTTAATTTTTTACATATTTTATAATTATTAACAAATTTTTATTATTTTTATTTTATATTTAAAAATATTTAATTTATAATTAATCTAAAATTTATTTATAATTGTTTTTAACTAAAGATATATATATTAATAATTATAACAAATTAATTATTTATTATTTAACTAGATAAAAAAGTATATTTTTTTAAAAAAAATAAGAATATATTTTTTTTTATAAAAAATTAAAAAATATTTATTATATTTCTTTAAATTTATATTCATATTTTTATTATTATAAATTTTTTATTCTAATTTTTATAATAATTTTTTTTTAATATATATGTACTTTTTTATTTATAATAAATTTTTTTTTTATTTTATTTTAATAATATATTTCAATTTTTTTATTTATATAAAATATTTTTTTATTTATAAAGTTTTTATTATATTAATTATATTTAATATAATTTTTTTTTGTCTATTATTTTGTTTAATTATAGATAAAATAAATAAATTTAATATAAAATCTCAAAATAAATTATTATCTATATTTATAATAGTCATTTTTTTAAAATATAATATAATTTTAAAAATAAATAATTCTAATAATTAATTTCTCTTTTAAAAAATTCGAAATTAAAAAAATGAAAAAACTCATAATTACTTAACTATTAATAACCTTTATTTTCGGTTTAAAAATACTTTAACACTAATGTGTCCACGATTAAATGGAAGAAGTTGATCAATATGAATTTATTATTCCTGATAAAGAATCTTTAGATCTACGAAATTTAGAAACTAAATAACCCCGTAATATGATAATAACTTATGATATGTCAATTTTTTTCAATTTATTAAACAGTAATTAATATAAAATGTTATTTGAAGCTTGCGAGAAAGCTTTGATTTTGGCAATCGTTTTTTTTCTCGTTTAATAAAAATTATCCCGAAATCTGAATAGAATATGAGATATAAAGGCAATAAAGCTATGTGTGGGTAAGTTTTAATTCCTTAAATAGACAAAGATTAGGGAAAGGACTCTGATTTACATTTATATGTTGAATATAAAATTTAACCAGAACTAGATTATTTAGCACAAGCTTATGTTTGTCAATTTCGGAAGGTTTAGGACCTACTCATAGTAGAATAAACTTCAATTTAGGTTAATTAGATAATAAAAATATCAATTAACCTGATATTTTTGAAGATTTAATTGAAATAGTTATCCATGAAATAACTCATGTATTGGGTTTTAGTAAAAAATTTATCAATAAATGGGTAAATACTGACGGATCTCCTCATGTTGACCCTATTATTATATAAGAAATAAGGGGAGCTGAAGTTAAATTGCTTAAAACTCCTAACGTTTTGAAGTATGCTCGAGAATATTTCAGGTGTTCTACTTTACCTGGTATGCCTCTTGAAAATTATGGAAGCGATAGTTCTCATTGGGAAAGCACAGTTATTCAAAACGAATACATGATAGCATATCAGTCAAATACTTAACTCTTTTTTAGTAGTTTTACAACCAATCTTTTAAGAGACACAGGCTTCTATGCTACAATTAACGAATCTATGGAAGAAAAAACATACTATGGAAAAGGATAAGGCTGTTAATATGTCTTAGGTTAATGCAGAACTGACAAAAGAGAACATTGTAATGAGGATGATTAGTATTTATGTGATTATTATCATTATGGATCATCCTAATGTATATCTAATTCATATATTGATTCTGGTTGCAAAATTTAGGAAATCTTACCATAAAGAAAATGCTATGATATAAAAAGTAAGATGTCAAAAAAAAACATTAATACAGTTTATGGAACAAAATTTGGAATTAATTCAAAATGTTTTAATGGGAATTTAAGGTATTATTTATATGATGTATAAAACAAAAACTAATTGAAGATTAAAGGTATGTGTTATGAATATGAATGTAGTCCTAATGGATAATAAGTAACTATTAAAGTTAATGAAAATAAAGTAATTTGTTAAAAAAATTTAGAAGAAATGTCAGTTATAGGATTTAACGGAATAATTAGATGTCCTGAAAACATATAAGAATTTTGTGGCTATAAAAAAATTTGTCCAAATTTCTGTAGTGCAAATGGATATTGCAATAACAATAAGTGTTATTGTATAAAAGGAATAAATAGTGTAGATTGCAGTAGTAATAAATCTATATGATAATAATTAGTATTTTAATTATTTTATGAAATTATATAAAAGAAATTTTATTTTAAATATTTAAATAACAAAAATATAATAAAATAAAAAAAAATATAAGAAATTAAATAAAAATATAAATAGAATAAAAAAATTAAAAAAATTAAATATATATATTAATGTAAACTTAAAAAAAATTAAAAAAAATAATATAGAAGTAAAAAATTAAAATAAATATAATAAAATAAGAAATTTATATAATTTTATATTAATAAAAAAAAAAAATTTTAAATAATAAAATGTATAATGCATATAAATATAAATATAAATATAAATATAAATATAAATATATATAAATATATATATATATATATATATATATATTATTTTATTATTAAATGCATAATAATATTTTTTAATAATTTTTTTTTTTTTTTACACTTTTTTATATTATTAATTCATTTTATTTTATTAACAATATTTTTTAATATATTAATTTATTCTTTTTTATTTTTATATTATTATTTTTAATTTTTTTTTTTTTTAATTTTTTTTTTTTTTTATATTTTTTTAAATTAAAATATTCAAAATAAAATATATTAAATTTTTAAATATTAATAAATATTAAAATATCTAATTAATTATAATTAAGTTATTTATTATATAAATAAAAAAAATTATAATAATATTTCTTATCAAACAGGTACATTGCTTGAGCAATCTTCTCCATAGAATCCATTAGCGCAATAACATTTATTTTTTAAGCAATATCCATTTGCACTACAATAATTTTTACAAAATCTTTTATATTCACAAAACTCTTAAATATTTTCTGGACATTAAATTTATCCTATATATTCCTCAACTGTTATATATTCTAAATTAATTGAACATATTTTCTATTTTTATCCTACATAAATTGTTATTTATTATCCATCAGAACTGCATTTATATTCATAACATTTACCTCTTATAATACCTTTATATTAAGAAGTAAGTTTTATATGCATTAAAGTTGCGTTAAAACATTTAGAATTATTCCCGAATTTTGTTCCGAATGCCCTCTATTATAAATTAGTGTTAAATTTACTTTTATCATTAAAGCATTCTCTATCTGGGTAAATTTCTTAAGTATTACAACCAGGTTCATTAAACATATTAGATATACACTCAGAAGATCCATTGTGATAATAATCACATAAAAAATTGTCTGTATCTTTACAATATTCTCTTTTATCAGATCTGCAATTTCCAAGGACATGTTCACAGCCTTATCCTTTTCCAAAGTATGTTTTTTCTTCCATAGATTCGTTAATTTCGGCATAGAAGCCTGTGTCTCTTAAAAGATTAGCTGTAAAACCACTAAAATAGCCTGAAGCTTATGATGAATTTGCATTCATATATTCATCTTGGATGATTGAAATTTCCCAATGAGATCCTAAAGAACCTCCGCCTCCTTAATTTTCAAGAGGCATACCAGGTAAGGAAGGACATCCGAAATAGTCTCGGGCAAACTTTAAAACGTTAGGAGTTGCGAGCAATTTAGTATTAATTCCCCTTATTTCTTATGTAATAATAGGATCAACATGAGGTTATCCATCAGTAGTAACCCAATTAGCTATACTTGTTCCAGTAAAACCTAATATATGAGTCATTTCATGTACAACTATTTAAAATAAATCATCAAATGCAATTGAATCAGTCATATCTAAATTAACTAATTTAGCTATATTGAAGTTAAGTCTACCATGAGTAGGTCCTAAACCTTTCAAAAATTGGCACCAACTAGCTCTTGCTAAATATTCTTATTTTAGATCATCTCTATATTATAAATAAATATGCAAATCAGAGTCCTTACCTTAATCTTTGTCTATTTAAGGAATTAAAACTTAACCACATTTACCGCTTTAGCCTTAATATCTCATATTTTATTCAGATTTTGGGACAATTTTTATTAAACGAGAAAAATAATCAATTGCCAATTTTACAGCTTTCTCGCAGGTGGCAGTAAAAATTTTATTTTAATCATTTTCTTCTAAATTTTAGAAAAATGACATATCGTAGGTTATTAACATATTACGGATTTATTTAGTTTCTAAATTTCGATTATATAAGGATTCTTTATGAGGGAGAATAATATCATATTTGTCATTTTATTCAATTAAATCATGAACACATTAGTGTTTAAGAATTTTTAAACAGTAAATAGTTATTAAAAAAAGTTAAGTTATTAAAAACTTTATCATTTATTACTTTTAATTTTATATTGTTATTGAATATTAAAATTAGATTTATATAATAATTTTAAGAAAAAAAATGATTTTTAAATGATAAATTTATTTTAAATATTAAATATTAAATTATAAACACACATTTTTAATAAATTTATATATATATAATTTAAATTTTAATAAATAATCATTTATATTTTTTTTTATATATGAATATGAAAATATAAAAATTATTATAATTATATTATTTTATATTTATATTATATGATTATTATATAATTAAATTGTTTTAAAAACAAAATATTTAAAAAAATAAAAAAATAAAAATTTAAATAAAAAATATAATATAAATATAAGAAATAGTATAAAAATATATTTAAAAATTATTATATATAAAATAATAAAAAAAAATAATAAAAAAAAATAAAAATAAAAATAAAAAAATAATATATAATATTAAAAATATAAATTTTAAAATTATAAAAAAATGAAAAATAATAAATTATAAATTTATTATATAAAATTATTATATAAATATATTATATTTAATATATAAAATATATAATAAAATATAAACAAAAATATTTTAAAATTAATATATTAAAATATATATTTTATTTTATATATAAAAAAAATTAATTAAATAAATATTATAAAAAAAATATATATATATATAATTCTACATTCATATTTCTAAAAAATATAAATTAATAATCTTAAAAATTTTTATAGTACGTAAATAAAAATATTATATTATATATTTTTTTGACAAATAAATAAGTAAAATATATTTATGATATCTGAAAACAATTTAAATTATAATCAATAAAATTATTATTGAAATGCAACATTAGTTAAAATACAAATAATAGATATTATATATATATATGATACAATAATGCAATATATACAGATAATTCAAATATCTAATTCATATAAGATATTTAATTAATTATATAATGTATAAAAAAATAAATAATAAATATAATATATAATAATACATAAAAAAATTTAATATAAATTGATAAATATAATATTTTGATGGTAATAATTAAAATTAATAAAAAAAAAAAAAAAGATAAATATTTAATAAAAATTATATATATATTATATTTATATTTTAAGGATAATAAATCTATATATTAAGAAAATATAATTATATTTATATTTTTTAGATATTATATTATTTAATTTAAACAATATAATTATATTTTTATATATAAATAATTTTATATTTTTTAAAAATACTTTTTAAAATAAAATGATTTTTTTTTTTATTTATTATTAAATAATAATTTGAAAAGTTAAACAATCCATTGTTTAAGCTTTTAATATTTTTATTTTTTTATTATTTTGATAATATTAAACAATAGAAAAATAGAAAAAAAATAATTATTATTATTTATCTTTAAATTCTTTAAATAGAAATTTATATATATTATTTAATTTTTTTTTTTAATTCAAATTTTTTTAAAAAAATATAAATTATTTTAAAAATAAAAAATAATAATAATAAGTTTATTTAGTATTTTCAAATTTTTTATTTTCATGTTTGATCTATTATTTTTTATAGTTATTACTCATATGAATATATATTAATTTTTTAATAATATATTTAATATTTATTTTTAATTTTTTTTTTATAAAGAATTTTTTATTTTTATTTTAATGATTTATTTTTTTTTAAAAAAAATAATTAATATATCGTATTTATTACAATTTTTATATTTTTTTTAGTTTATTATAATTAAATAAATTATAAAATTAACTTTTTTATTAATAACAAATGATTTTAAGAATATATATATTTTAATGAATTTTGATTAAATTTTTATTTCTATTAGTTATTATGATTTTTATATACATTTATATTTATTTAATTAATCGCTTAAATTATACTTTTTTTAATTACTTTTATATATTTTTATAGTATTTTTTTAGATTAAAAAATATATAATATATTGAATTATAGCTTAAGAATCTTATTAGATTATCATATAAAGTAATTAATTAATATTAAGATCATTCACAATTTTTTATTTATAAAAAGATAAATTAAATGTATATAATACAAATTTTTGTATAATTATAACTAAAAATAAATTTCTAATATTCAATAATTAATTAAAATAATTATATCACAAATAAAATATTATTAATATTTTATATTATACGTGTTTAAAATATTATTTATAAATAATTATAAATTATGAAATATTAATTTAATAATGAATATTTTAATATTATATATTCTACGATATGTCGTTTTTCTAAAATTTAGAAGAAAATGATTAAAATAAAATTTTAACTTCAACCTGCGAGAAAGCTGTAATATTGGCAATTGATTATTTTTTCGTTTAATAAGAATTGTCCCTAAATATGAGATATTTAAGGCTAAAGTGGTAAATGTGGTTAGGTTTTAATTCCTTAAATAGACAAAGATTAAGGTAAGGACTCTTATTTGCATATTTATTTATAATATAGAAATGATCTAAAATAACAATATTTAGCAAGAGCTAGTTGGTGCCAATTATTGCTAGGTTTAGGACCTACTCATGGTAGACTAAACTTCAATTTATGTAAATTAGTTAATTTAGATATGACTTATTCAATTATATTTGAAAAAATTGTACATGAAATAACTCATATATTAGGTTTTACTGCAAAAAGTATATAGCTAAATGGGTTACTAATGATAGATTTCGGATTTATATCCTTACCTGGTATGTCACTTAAATATAAAAGGCTAAAGTTCTATAGGATCTAATTAATAAATGACAATCATACAACAATATATATAAATATGAAATTTGACATAAATTTAAGTCTATTTTAGTGGTTTTACAGCCAATATTTTAAGAGACATAGGCTTCTATGTCGAAATTAACGAATCTATTGAAGAAAAAGCATGCTATGGAAAAGGATATTCTGTGAACAAATTTTCGATAGATAAAGATCTGATTAAAAAAAATATTGTAATTTTAACAATGGTAACTATTTATATTTATGTGATTATTAACACTATAAATTTTATTAATTTTGATTCAAAAAATTTTAATAGGAATTTAATTTATTACTTATATATGATATATAAAATTAAAGAACGTAATTGATAATTAATGAATATTTAAGTATAAACATAAATACTTATTTTTAAAAAATTTACAAAGAATTAATAAATTTGAGATTTAACTGAAATATATATTGTCCTGATAATATATAAAATTTATATAGGTATAAGAAATAATACACAAAAATCATTAGTAAAAAAGATTTTAGAAAAATAATTATTGTTAATGAATATAAAGGTTATATGATTATATTAGATATATTAAAAATTTTTATTTAAAAAGTTAATTTAATAAAATAAAAAAATTAATTTTTTTGTATTTTATAAAACAAATAATAAAAAATAATATTAAAAAAAAAGAAAATAAATTTTGAAATAAATTAATAAATTAAATTCCATATTATATTTTATATCTGTATATTCTAAACATAATTTTATAATATTAATTCTTTTTATAATTTTTTATTTTATAAATAAATAAATTTTTAGTAATTAAATTTTTTTATAAATAAATCAATTAAATTATATAAAATATTTATTTTCTTTTATTAATATTTAAAATAAATCTTATAATTTTTAAATTTATTCTTAAAAGCTATTAAAAAGTAATTATTTTCTGATAAATAACCTATTTTCATTCTATTTATATTATTTAATTTTAGATAATATAATAAAAATATTATACTTTTTATAATATGTAACATATATATTATTAATTGATTCATTATATATTGTATTTTTGTATAATAAATTAATATAACTAACAATTTTATCTTGAATTAACAAAAGATATATTCTAAATAAATTCCATTTAAAAATTATAATTATTTTGAATTTCAAATAAATGAATATCAGCTTAAAAAATTTAACTTTTTTTATACATTAAAAAATAAATTTTTGCAAAGAATAATATTTCAATATTTTTATTCTAATAAAATATTTTCAAAAATAATTTAATTCATATTCAAAAAGTTAATAAAAAATAATAAATTAATAACTTAAAAATTACTTTACTAAATTTATAATTCTTAAGATATTTTTAAATTTCTGAAAAAAAAAAAAAAAAATATTATTTAAAGAAAGACAATTGTTTATTTATTTTATAATTTTTTAATATAAAGATAATATAAAAAAACTAAAAGTATTGCATATACAAATTTTATTAGTAAGAATTACTAAAAAAAAAATTTCTATATAATTAAAAAGTATTGACTAAGAAAGATATAATTTTGATTCACTATTATTAATTTTATATGAAATAATTTATTAAATTTATTCTTCTGTTGAATCGTTGAATCTATATTTTATAAATATTTATATTCTCTAATTAAATAATTAATTTATTCTTCTGTTAAATCTATATTTTATAAATATTTATATTCTCTAATTAAATAATTATAAGCAAAAAAAAACTTCTTCGCTCATTTTTTTTTATGAATAATTTCTCAAAATTAATTTAATGCTAAATATTTTATACAAAAAGTATTAAAGTTTTATAATAATAAAATTACCAAACGATAAATTAACAAAAAAAAATGAGATATTTAATTGAAACTTAATTATAAATAAAATAAAATATAAATATAAAAATATTATTATTATATTAAAAATGAATATTTATATATTAAAAATTATTTAAACTTATCTTAAAATTAACAAAAATAATAAATAAATCAAAAATATATTGATATCCATTAATAATTCAAAAATTAAAAATTTATTAAAATTACAAAATAAAAATTAATTTGAAAAATTAAATTATGATTATAGATTA